GGCGGAGGTGGGCAAAGGTCGACGGAGGTGGGCGGAGGGGATCGGGATTGGGGTCGAGATCGGGAAGCGGAAGCGGACGTACCGAACTTCCGGATCGGGAGGTGAGCGAAGGTCGGCGGAGGTGGGCGAAGGTCGGCGAAGGTCGGCGGAGGTGGGCGGAGGTGGGCGGAGGGGATCGGGATCGGGATCGGGAAGCGGAAGCGGACGGAGGTGGGCGAAGGTCGGCGGAGGTGGGCGGAGGGGATCGGGATCGGGATCAGGAAGCGGAAGCGGACGACCGAACTTCCGGATCGGGAGGTGAGCGAAGGTCGGCGGAGGTGGGCGAAGGTCGGCGGAGGCGGGCGGAGGTGGGCGGAGGGGATCGGGATTGGGATCGGGATCGGGAAGCGGGGAGAAGAGGAAGTGGAGAGAACCGGAAGTGGGAGGGGGAGGTGGCGAGCTTGCCACGTGGCGATCTTGCCACGTGGCGATCTTGTCACGTGGGAGGGGGAGGTGGCGAGCTTGCCGCGTGGCGAACTTCGCTTTCGTAGGATCGAGGTTCGGCGGAGGTGGGCGAAGGTCGGCGGAGGTGGGCGAAGGTCGGCGGAGATGGGCGAAGGTCGGCGGAGGGGATCGGGATCGGGAAGCGGGGCGAAGCGGAAGTGGGGAGAAGCGGAAGTGGGAGGGGGAGGTGGCGAACTTGCCACGTGACGATCTTGCCACGTGGCGATCTTGTCACGTGGGAGGGGGAGGTCCGAGGTGGCGAGCTTGCCGCGTGGCGAACTTCGCTTCCGTAGCGATCAAGGTTCGACGGAGGTGGGTGAAGGTCGGCGGAGGCGGGCGGAGGCGGGCGGAGAGGATCGGGATCGAGATCGAGAAGCGGGGAGAAGTGGAAGTGGGGAGAAGCGGAAGCGGGAGGGGGATGTGGCGAACTTGCCACGTGGCGATCTTGTCACGTGGAAGGGGGAGGTGGCGAAGTAGAAGTAAACGAAGAAGAAGAAGAAGAAGAAGAAGAAGAAGAAGAAGAAGAAGAAGAAGAAGTAAACGAAAAAGAAGAAGAAGAAGAAGAAGAAGAAGAAGAAGAAGAAGAAGAAGAAGAAGAAGAAGTAAACGAAGAAGAACAACAACCTGACTTGAAGTAAACGAAGAAGAAGAAGAAGAAGAAGAAGAAGAAGAAGAAGAAGAAGAAGAAGAAGTAAACGATGACGACGACGACGATGACGGAGAAGAAGAAGAAGAAGAAGAAGAAGAAGAAGAAGAAGTAGAAGAAGTAAATGAAGAAGAAGAAGAAGAAGAAGAAGAAGAAGAAGAAGAAGAAGAAGAATTAGAAGAAGAAGTAGAAGAAGTTAACGAAGAAGAAGAACAACCTGACTTGAAGAAGAGGGAAGAGGAACCTACCAGCAGAAGCCATCTCTTCTTCGCTCGCTCGCTCGTCGTCGACCTCTCTCTCTCTCTCTCCCCCTCGCTCGCTCGTCGTTGTTAGCGGCCAGGTATCGCCGACGCACTCTCTCTCTCTCTCTCTCAAACTCCCTCTCTCTCTCTATCTATCTATCTATCTATCTATCTATCTATCTATCTATCTATCTATCTATTTATCTATCTATCTATCTATCTATCTATCTATCTATCTATCTATCTCTGTGTCTTTCTCTCTCAAAAGTTTCCTCGATGGCCTCTCTCTCTCTCTCGGATATGGTCTCTCTCTCGCTCGCTCTCTCTCGTCTGCCTGCTGAGGTTGCTCAAACTCAAGCGCCTCAACATGAAACCTCCCCCCTCGCGCACAGTATATATGGCGAACAAAGGGAGTAGCTGACCAAGGAGGCGCGCGACTGATGGAGAGAGAGAGAGAGAAAGAGAGACAAATAGAGAGAGAGAGAGAGAGAGAGAGAGAGAGAGAGAGAGAGAGAGAGAGAGAGAGAGAGAGAGAGAGAGAGAGATGGAACAACAGGACCAAGTGAGGGAGAGAAAGACAGCAAAATTTCACCGTTTTTTTTTCCCTGTTTTTTTTTCCTGTTTTTTTTTTTTTTGTTTCAAGACATGTGCGCCATAGCTATACGGCGCACCATTGTCTCGGCTCTTGCCACTGGCGATGGCAGAGTCTTAACCGCACTCTCCCTCTGCCACACACCCACGCGCACACCCACACACACTCTTGGCCGCACTCTCTCTCTGACACCCACGCACGCGCACACACACACACACACTGTTTCCCCATCTCTCTCTCTCTGACACACACGCACACACACAGACACATGGGCAAACTTCGTCCCATCTGTCTCTCCGCCTCTGTCTCTGAGTGTGTGTGTGTGTGTGTGTGTATGTCTGTGTGTCCGTCTGTGGGCATCGCTGCACTACTCTCCGTCTGTCGTTTGCTTTCTTTTTTTTTTTCCTTTTTTTTTCCTTTTTTTTTTCCTTTTGGTTTGCTTTCTTTTTTTTTTTTCCCTTTTTTCCTTTTTTTTTTTTTTCCCCTTCTTTCTACTCTCCGCATACACAAAAGACCCCTGAATTGGGCACTGGGCCCTTAGTTGGAAAAAAAAAAAAGAAAAAAAAAAGTACTCAGATTTGGTGAAAAAAGACAAAACAAAACAAAACAAAAGGGACTGGAGCGCGTAGCTCAGTTGGTACACCCATCAACTGTTGAAATACAGACCACTGGATTTGAACTCCGGTCTGTATTTCAACAGTTCATGGGTTTACGTATCAAGTTCCATCATCTGGATTTGAACTCGGGTCTGTATTTCAACAGTTCATGGGTGTACCCACTGAGCTACGCTCTCGGGTCCCTTTCTTTTTTTTTTTTTTCTCAAGGCCGTTGCCCTTTT